GCCTGCAGACTGAAAGGTCACTCGATTCCCAGTCAGGGCACATGCCTGGGTTGCAGGCCAGGTCCCAGGTTGGGGATGTGTGAGAGGCAACTGATCTATGTTTCTCTCACACATGTTTCTCCCTCCTTTCCCTTCTCTCTAAATAAATAAATACATAAATACATAAATAAATAAATACAATCTAAATAAATAAATGACAACCCTCTAAGTCACAGAGACATGTGCTGTCTCCTATCTTCTAGGAGTCTAGTAAGGGCTGGGCCTCCTGTAGATGATGGGAAGCCAGAGCGACAACAGATAATCCCTCACTGCTGGAAGGACTGAGTTCAGCACATCTGCACACAGGGCCCCAGTCAACTGTCCCTGGAAATCAGGACCCTGAATATGGTCAGGGTACATCAGCCTCCCCAACTGACAGAGAGGTCATGGCCCCTTGTACAGGGCTGTGGAGACTGAGGCCTCCAACCTGAGAATAAAGAGAATATCATTCATATTCTAAAAACTCTATATATATCATATATAGATATATATATCAGGTGGCACTTGATCTAAACTCTCACCCACCCTCTGATGACAGGTGACAGGACAGTTTGTCTTACTAATACTTCTCAACCTGACCTCACTGACTGGGATAATCCATCCTGGCACTAAGGGGCTGAGGAAGCACAGGCATGTCACATGTAATCCCTATTATATTCTGATGTAGAAACAAAAGAATGTTACCTTTTCCCAAGCGGTCCTGCTATGATCTGTGTATGTTCCACAAAATTTACATGTTGAAACCTGATCCCCAAAGTCATGGAAATAGGAGGTGAAGCCATTGGGAAGTGTTTAGGCTATGAGAGTACAGTTCTTCTGGATGGGACTGGTGGTCCATCACTGCTGGATGCCTGGGAGATGCCTGAGAGAGCTTCCTGGCCCACTCTCCTTTGTGAAGATATAAGGCAAGGTCTGCTACCCAGACAAGGGCCCTCCTCTGACTATGCAGTACCCTCACTTCACACTTTTAGCCTCCAGAACTGGGAGATCAAAATGGGGGTTTACCAGCCACTCAGTTGGAGGGATTAGGTCACAGTTGCCTAAGACAACTGAATAGGCCCCAACTATCTCACCAGGTCAGCTTCGTTCTGCTACAATGAAGAAGCATACAGGCTATTTACAGATGGCTCAGTCCCCATCTGTCCTCACTGCCAAGACTTTCAGAAATGAAAAGAGTGTAGGTTTCACCCCATATGCAAACCAACAAGCAAGGCTGCCATTTCTAAGGATTCTGGACAAGATACGAGACTCCTAAAACTGAGAAAAAGACATTATTATTCATAGAACAACAGGAAGCCAGAGTGTTCTGTTTGCATCTTTTCCTAATGCTCCCCTATACCCCATAAGGCCATGCAAAGAGGTCCAGGTGGATGCAGTACCCACAGCCGGTTTTGGGCACAGCTGGAGAACATTAAGCTTAAAAAAATCCAATCTCTCTGGTTATATTTTGCTTGCTTGTTTGTTTTGTTGGTTAGGTTCCACTTATAGGTGAGATTATATGATAGATGTCTTTCACCACCTGGCTTATTTCACTTAGCATAATGTTGTCCAGATCTATCCATGCTGTCACAAAGGGTGGTAGCATGGATGTCACCCTTTCTTTCTGTTGTATAGTATTCCATCATGTAAATGTACCATAGTTTTTTCATCCATTCATTCAAATTAAGAACAAACTGACAGTAACCAGAGGAGAGGAGGAAGGGGATAATGGGCAGAAAAGGGAGAAGGGTTTTCAGGAACATGTATAAAGGACACATGGACAAAACCAAAGACAGGGTAGGATCGAGGGTGGGAAGCAGAGATGGGTGGGGTTGGGGGGACTGGGGGAGGGGGTTTGGGGAATGGAGACAACTGTACTTAAACAATAAAAAAGTGAAAAAATAAAAATAATAAAAACAATTTCATGAGAGGTATAAGTACACCTGCCCAACTCAAAGGAAGGTATTATCTTTATTATATCAGTCTGGAAATTGTCTTGTCTAATCTGTCTTGTCCTAAGTAAGACACCAGTGCCATGTTCCAAAGCTGCAATACAAAATTTCCCTGCAAAATAGTCCAGAACTCAAGCTGACACAAGAGATGAAAAGAATTTCAGATGCTCATATAGAATTATTTCCTAATAGGCGAAACCTTTACCCTTAAAATTTGGAAATAACTGATTGAAATAATCCATTAAAGATTTTGACACCAAGACTGAAATTGGTTGTGTAGAGCTGGGGTTTGTTAAAGACTTAAGCAGGCAGGAGACACACAGATTTTCCAGGATACATCACAGGAAACACAGATACAAGGAGGAGGTGATGTTAATGTGAGTGAGCAATGAGAGAGAGCACAAAAGAAAAGACTATATCCCAGTTTTTTAGTGAATGTAAATTTGCTAGATCATTTAAAAAAAACATAACATTCTCCATCCATACATACAATAAATCACTCCTGGATTAGTTATCATTCTGAATTTTAAAGCTATGCTAGTTTTTAAAATGCCACTATGGAGTATATATCCATGGTTTTACAATAGAAAAAAATCTTAAACAAAATAAAAAACATTCCTAGGAAGAATATATCAAATTATGCTAAAATTAAGACACCCTCCTTATCACAACACATACCCATACACACACAGAAAGCATTAAAGAGAGAGCCAAAAAAAAAAAAAAACCATGTCCAGCAGATGTATAGAACTGTTACAATTTGATAGGAAAAAACAACACAATTGAAAAATAGGCAAATTAACACATATTCAAAATGTGGCTGTCCTTTGTGTAATAAATATGGGAAAGTATGTTCAAATTTCATGATAATCAGGAAATGCAGGTACATAACTTATTACTTGTTTCCACTGCATATCAACCAGAAGTCCAACATAAAAATGAAAAAAATATTAAAAGTGGTACAATATGTTGGTAAACAAAGAGTTTCTTACACTGCTGGTGGAAGTGGCAACTGCTCCAAACATTTTTTAAATCTCTTTGGCACTACTTCCAACACATGAAACCTGATTATTCCACTGTCACATGCATCGCCAACAGAATTGTGTATGTGTGTCATACACACATACACAATTATTCTATATTCATATAGAAAATTATTCTATATTCATATAGAAAATTATTCTATATTCATATAGAAAATTATTCATATACACAATTATTCTATATTCATATTGAAAATTATTCTATATTCATATACTAGGACTTGTCCTAACAGTCCCAATCTGAAAACTTCCCATATGCCAATGAACAGAGAATGATTAAGTATTTTATATTCACACAAAAGAACTCTACAGAACAATGCAAGAATTCATTCCAACATGCAGCAATAAATACAACAAATAATGTAAGGAATGAAAACCGTGGAACACTAAAAAGTTATTGCTCTATGATTGCCTTTATATAAAGTGCAAAACAGACCCCAGGGAACTATGCTGTGAGATGTTGGAGCAGTGCTTATCCTCAGCAGTAGTGACAGGAAGAGAGCACAGGAGTCTTCTGATGGTCTGATAACATTCTATTTCCTGATTCAGGTACTGAGTGTAAGAATGTATCACTCTGTTAACTTTCATTTGGCTCTGAATGTATGACCTGCACATGTACCTTTAAATTTTTTAAATATGTATCACCAATCTGATATATGAGATATGGTGAATAGATAAATGCTATAATGTCTTTATATTATATTATAAAGGTGAAGCTGAAGAATATTAAATAAAACAAGAATGTGTCTACTTTTTAAATGTAAGCTAAAATATTTTGGTAGAGCTGTGACCAGTGTGGCTCACTTGGTTGGGCATTGTCCCACAAGGCAGAAGGTCACTGGTTTGATTCCCAGTCAGGGTACATACAAGAAGCAACTGATAATGCATAAATGACTGAAACAACAAATCAGCGTTTCTCTGTCTCTCTCTCTCACCCTCTCTCCCTTCTTCTCTCCATCTAAAATAAATAAATAAATAAACTGTTAAATAAACAAATAGATTTTTACTATATTCAGTCATTTTTTCAAGAGATACGGTGCGATAATGAACATATAATACATATTTCTATGGATTTTAAACACTTAAACAACTAGCATTACAATATACACATAGGATAATGCACACACTAAGATTTTTACTGGTATTATTTTAAATTTCTATAATGTGCAACCTTCCAGTATATTGATTGATGAATGACAACTATAATTGGCCCATGAGGTCAAAATAATTTCTTTCTTTCTCAAATTATTGGATTGTCAAATCTTTGAATCAAGTTCCAATTGTAAATCCAGAAAAAGCTATACAAAAATCTCTCAGGAAATTGAGGATATATCCCTTTTGCTTTCTAAAAATCAAGGAGCCCTAAACCCCACATGAATAATATAGATTTCTTATTTTCTTTTCAAATGCCTCTCATTGCACTGCTCCAGATTTCATGGAAGTCCCCACCATGAACTAACGCCATTGCTTTAGGGTCAGGAGTGTGCACCTGCAGACCAACCTTCTGACCAACATACCCAGATCCTCTTCACAAAGAAGAAACACATCTGCCTCCCACAGATACCAATTCTGTGCAATTCACATTTTTTAAAAAGTCACAATCAACTGATATGGTTAAAACATAAGCTAAAAAGTAATCTCATGCATTCCTTTGCCCCACCCCGCTCAATCTGGTCATTTCTACCAGAATTTATTTCCAAGATCATCCATTTATAACATCATATTTCTAATAAATGACTGCTTCTCCAGGGGTGTCATGCACAAGACCATAACTGACTCCCACAAGCTTCCTCATGGACTGAATTTCCCTCCAGCACCAATGGCTTCAGCTTCAGGGGTGACCTGCCACCTCCTGATGCCCAGTCACATAAATTTTCTTACAATTCTATGCTAGTTCATTTCTGGATGATTTAGTGTAATAGATTTAACATACATACAATTTAATTAATTTACAAGTTAAGTTTCATACTATTAAAATACATATAATTTATATATTTCCCATAAGATTAGGACATTTTACATTCCTTATCCAGGCAAAGCTGAGTCTGGAGACACTTGAGCCACGGATCATGAGCAGGAAGGGACTGACAGTTGGGAAACACAGATTGATTAATAAATAGATGTCAGGGAGAAATAAGCTGGGATTGTTCAAAATAGATATAACAATAAGAACAATGGAGGAAAGTGTGTTAAAAAAGACAAAGGTGCTCACCAGGAGAAGGATGGTTTTGGTAGCTCTGGACACAGGGGAGGATCGGGAGGAGACGGGGGTCCTATGAACATGTCGGACTCTCTGCCTGTGTCTGTGCAGGATGAAGACCATGGAGCCGCTGGCCCAGAGCATAAGCATGAAACATACAACATCAGGGGATGTTAACAACACTGCAAATAATGAGTCTTTGGTTTTATCGGGATGAAGATGGGAACAGAATCCCAACAACTTTCTGTCTGTGATGTTTTTGTTGCTCAAATTGCTAGACATAAATATAGGAACAATAACATTTACCAGCATTTGCAGAACCCAGTACAGGAAAACTGAAAAAACAATGTACTTGGGAGCTTTTACTTTAAGATCTGCCCACCTGGAGTTCATGGGGCTGATGGTGATGGCCTGGAAGATGCTCAGGAGGCAGGTGGTGCCAATGGACACACCCCTTCCCACTCCACGTAAATAGGGGAAAAATTTGCATCCAAAATCATGAAGATGGTGATATCGCCCAAAAGATGACATTGTATAGTGGATTCCAGTAGAAAAGAGAACCAAGGAGTTTGCCACAATTAGGTTTATGACCATCAAATCTGTAGGCCTCAGCCTGCACCCAGTGAAATGGAGGAAGAGATAATGATAAAGCAGAGAAAAATTCCCCAGGACTCCGATTACAGTCTGTAGTAAAAAGGTCATCCCTACTACAAAATCCTTGGTGGCCATGCTGTCTGTTCTCAGTGATTGGTCTTTGTCTTCTGAACAAGAGGACCCTGCATGGGAATAGGAGGTATAAGCCACAGGTGTCATGTCAGGGGATCTCCAACATTCTCCACTATCAACAGCTCCAAATGGAATACTGAGTTAAACTTTTTCTCTTAAAGGCATCGAATAGTTGGATGTGTAACCATTTAAGAACACAAAAAAGATTACTCACTGCTACAAAGGCCACACATAAATTAACTTTGTTATCCCTCACAAGTTCAAGAGGCAGACACTACTGCATTTTTTATAAAGGTGAGGACCCTATCTGCAGAGAAGTTAAAGGTTTTGTCTGAGTTCACATTCTAGTTAGGGGCAGAATGAGGATTTGATCCTGGTTGTGCTGCTAACTCCTTTAGAGACAGGAGTGTGCACCTGCAGACCAATCTTCTGACCAACGTGCCCAGATCCTCTTCACAAAGAAGAAACACATCTGCCTCCCACACATATCAATTTCATGCAATTCACATTTTTTAAAAAATGTCACAACAAGACAGTGCATTTAATTTTTAATATAATAAAAAAGTTACCTGTGTTTTTCAAAGAAACCAATTATTTTTGAACCCTCTTATTTTGATTTCCATTGGTGGTATTTTATTTGAAATTTTTAGAAACATCTAGTGTCCACTATTTTCATTATGAATACTTAATCCACAGACAAATATAAACTTTGAATAAAGCTCTAGAGATCTCCGTAGAACATAGGTGCACTGACTGCAGAAAAACTGTAGGGACCTGCCCCTGACAGCTTGGGTGTAATGAATGCAAGCAAGGTGCAATATTAGGAGGACAACAGAAAGTGTCATGCTTTATTATAGGGAAAATACAATTACATGAGTTACAGGAACTATGCAACAAGAAACACTGGTATCTGATAAACAGCATATTGCAGAAATAAAATCATTACTAATTTCAGATCATATACATAACTAATTTTTAATAACTGAGATAAACGAGATTCTTAGCAGTAAGGCAAGATTTGTATAAAGATAAGAACATACCAGAAAACATGGAAAATGTAGAGTTAAGGCAAATAACTTGTATATTATATAATGAAATACACAGATTGGTTAGATTGGTATTATAAAATATAAGAGCAACAGAAATATCAAACTATATATTTGACTGAAAATACTGTCTAAAAGTTTTAAGTTATATTTTTAAATGCTATTTCTTTAAGTGGGAAAAGAGTCACCATAGTGAAAATATACACAAATATTAAATATGTTTAGCAAATAATATATCCAGAGTCATAAAATACATTTCTACTTCAGTAACTGCTGTCAGACACATTTTCTGCATCAGGTCCAATGATTCCTGTGGACGTAAAAGCAGGCAGATATTATTGATGCACCACTAGAAACCTAAAAATTAGGTCCATGATTCCTATAAAGTCAGCTGAACAGAGATTGACTCCAAAACTCTGGCCTTTAACTACATTAAGAATCAGGTTCATAAAAAAACATGATTGTGAGTGAGGACCACACTACACCACATCTGGAGTCATCAGAGATTAGAGGAGCTCTAGGACCCATGTCTCTTTACCAGCTCAGCTCAAGCCTCAGGAATTCCTCCCCCTACCCTCTGGCTTTGGTGCTGGACCAGGTTCATTCACAAAAGGTCCCTTTGTCCAGTATGTTCACTTACCTGGACTCCTAATACAACACCTTCCCTTACAGTCTCTACCTTTCAGACTGATAAAGAGAAAACCCACTGATGTCTCCCTGCTGCCTGGACGCTGGCTCATCGTAAAGTCAGCACTGTCACTATATGTAACAGGGAGGCAGCCAGACCCTGAGATATTGGTTGTGATTTGGTGACCTCACCTCCCCTGTGAATTGCAATTATCACTTCACTGGTAGGAGCACTGGCACCAACAGGCTTGGGAACTGAGAATATTTCTCAAAACTTTCTTCCCAGTTGAAAGTGCCAAAAACAATTCCAGGTTTCCAGCCAGAATCCCTTAGGAGACTACTGGAGTGTTTGTAAGAGGCCCTTTCTTTCCATGATCCCTGGAGCAGACAGGATCTCCCGTGGGGAACAAACAGTAGGGAGTGCTCACTTCTGACCTCTGAAGGACCAGAGTGAGTCTGCACATCTCATGAGACATTTGCTTCATTGGGAAGTTCTACCCAAAGTAAGTTCTTTCCTAATCTTCAAACAAATGAGCTGCAGCATCACTGGCATATGGAGCAAAGAAAATAGAATAAGTCAAAATATGTTAGATTTAGAGAGACAAGTAACAGGTAACATGGTGTCATAAGGTATATTACATATCATTGCACTCATTGGCTCAAGTCAATGTTACCTCGTATGCAATTTGAGGGAAAATATAATTGACCATTATTGTCTTCTATTAGTAATAGGACATAGATACAGAACAGAACTATAGATTGAGATGAAAGAGAAAAGTTCTACAAGAATCCCTCATAAATAAAGTACCAGAATGGGATGGTTTGACAGGCATATGCTGCCATTCTTGTAACTACCAGACAAGCCAATGTTCCTTATGAAATTCTAGAGTATCCAAGGGTTACAACAGTGCTCTACACTTATTTTACGCTGAATTGTCAGTTAAGAGCCCTTGTTGCTTTCCTTTTTAAGAAACATAAATTAGATATTGAAAGTGATTTTTTGGTTTGTCCTACAAACAAATCTGAATAAAATCTATTTCCCTATGCAAATACCTTCAAGTTTCAAGTCCAGGGATAATGGAAAGCCATTCAGATAACACAGTCACAGGAACTCATTTCTACACTTACACATATGCAAGGACACAAACACAGTCACAATCACATACTTATGCACATACACAATCAGTATTACACAATTTTAGTTGTATATTCACATTCGCTCACATTCACACATAAATACTCTCACCCATTCAGACACACTTGTGACCTGTAAACACACATAGCCAATTAAGTTGTTCAGTACATTAAGTTACATGTACTTTTATAGAATCAATGTATACAGTCACTATGAGTCTTTCTTCATGATTCATTCATTTACACAAGAATAACTGTATCTCCAGACTACTACATGCTCCAAAAGGAGGCCCTTTCCATCCTTTGTGATCCTTCCAACTGGGTAACAACCAACAAGGACAATGTTCATAATATATACACAGCCTTAAAAATTGCTATGAGAACAAGTAAAAAGAAAAGTCTCAGATAAATAATCTAACTTTTTAGCTAAAGGAATTAGAAAAGGAATAACAAACAGTCTCAGGTGGGTTTAGAAAGGAAACAATAAAGATCAGAGTGGATGCAAACAAAATAGTTAAAACAAAAACACACAAGTTCACTGAAACCAAGAGTCACTTCTTTGAAAAGATAATCAACATGGATAAACATTTAACCACACTCATTAAGAAATAAAAAGGAAGCCAAATAAAATAAGTAACAAGAGAGAGAATCAATGGACACCACAGAAATACCAAGAATTATAAGAAATACTATTGAGTTGGCTAAAATGTCTGTTTGGTTTTTTTCTGTAAGATGGCTCTAGTAGTAGTACTTAGCTGTCTTGAACTTCATTTGAAGATTAGACTGTACTGTGACAGCTATTATATCAGTGTGCATTTAAAAAGAAAACACTAAAATTGGTGAATTTGGGGGTAGCAATTTTAATATTGAAAATGGAAGAAAATATGCAAAATTTTCATCATATTATGCTTTATTATTTCAACAAAGGTAAAAACACAATGGAAACTCACATACACAAAATTTGTGTAGTGTATGGAAAAGATGCTCTGACTGATAGAACATGTCAAAAGTGGTTTGTTAAGTTTCATGCTAGAGATTTCTTGCTGGACGATGCTCCATACTCAGGTAGACCATTTAAGGTTGACAGTGATCAAATTGAGATATTAATTGAGGACAATCGATGTTAATACCACACAGGAGATAGCTGAAATATTCAAAATATCCAAATCAATAAAGTTATTGGTGAAAAATTAAAAATGCGTCTTTAGCCCTGGCTGGCATAGCTCAGTGGATTGAGCGCAGGCTGCGAACCAAAGTGTCGCAGGTTCGATTCCCAGCCAGGGTACATGCCTGGGTTGCAGGCCATAACCCCCAGCAACCGCACATTGATGTTTCTCTCTCTCTCTCTCTCTATCTCCCTCCCTTCCCTCTCTAAAAATAAATAAATAAAACCTTTAAAAAATGTGTCTTTTATGAGAAAAAAACATGTAGACTTTTTGGCTAACCCAATACAAACAATTATATGCCAACAAATTGGACAATCAGAAAAATCTGAGTAACTTCCTAGAAATGTACAATCCACAACTGAGTCAAGAAAAAAACAAAATCTGAACAAACCAATAATTACTAACAAAATCAAATCAGTAATTAAATACTTCCCACCAAACAAAACACCTGGTCCAGATGGCATCCTTGGTAAATTTTTTTATGTATGTGCTTATTTTTTAAAATCGTATATTTGTTTATACAGAGAAACTATTTGGATTATTCCACTTAGACTTTTTCAATTCTCACTTCCAATGGCCAAAGATAATTCATGTAGCCGTCAGCATTTACTTGAATTGATCACCATATAGATCTGCCATGACACAAAGCTGTTGATCCACTATTAAAGACCAGGATCTCACTTGAACAGAAACACTTTACAGGAAGTGACTAACTAGTCATTTTCCCTCTTGTGAATAAATCTACCAAAATTGATCTAATATGGTCAAATTTTCAACATATTTCATTGTTGCTTTTCAAATCCAGTATTTTTAGGCATTGTAAAACAAAGGAAATAAAGTTCACTTCCCCCAAGCCTTCTAAAATTCACCCTCAAGTTTAGCTTTCACTCTCTCCTCTCAGATTATGGCACATACATCTTTAGTTTAAAAAAAAAACTACTCTTTTTTTTTCATTCTTTGGTATCTATATAGGGATGAGGGTGGGTTTCTTTTATGATAACTAGGTCATAACTTCAAATAATCTAATTTGTCATTTCATCCATATGATTAACCTATTTTGGGCAAATGATGAAAT